TTGAACGGCGATAATTTGAAGTAGCCATGGAAAATACAGTTACTTTGTAGTAATAGGTTCCATCGTTCCGGTGACAGACAGGTAATAGGTTCCGGTAACCTATTACTTTTGTCACCTATTACCAGTAATCATAATATAATATGTATTTTTCAATAAAAACGAATACTTTCTACTGTTTATAGTTTATTTTTGTTTCAACCGTGAGTGATAAACATTATGCATACGTTTGATGGTTGTTAAAAATAAACATTAAACATATACAGCTGACAGAAATTTAAAAATAGATGATTTAACTACTACACTATACTATAAATCATAAAGAAAATATTATTGATATACATAACTTATATCTATATATATATATATATATATATATATATATATATATATATATATATATATATATATATATATATATATATATATATATATATATATATTAAGGCGAGAGGAAAAAATATTAGTGTATAAGATTATTCTATTAAATAACGGTTGGAATTTAAAAATAAAAGTTGTTCAGCTCGTTTGGTTGAAAGTCTCGTACGACGTTGTGTTATCATATTTCCTGCCTTTGAAAAGAGTCTTTCACAAGATACCAATGTGGCTTTCACAAGGCCTTGTACAAGGTTTCTTCTTAGATGTTATCATCTTGTCTAGATTGGTCCAAATAGAAAATTTTGGGTGCTTTTCCTCCTGCTGACTCTCACGTTGTTCTTCAGTTTCTCTGACCAAAGTACTTGCGGCTATCTGATACTTCTTACGCCATATGTTCGCTATCAGTTCAGTACAATAACTTTTTATACTTTCAGCTGCCATTTCATCGGTAAATACTGCTAGTTTAAAACGAGGATCCAATAAAGTCGCCAATGCTATAGTTTTGTTATTCTCAATATTAATCAACCTTGTTTTTAATCCTTTGAGCAGTTGATTAATTACAGAATTTGAAATGGTGCTTAAATCTTCATTTTTCATACTGTTGCAAACAAATGTTAAACCATTGGTGAATCCAATTACCTGGCTAGCAGTAAGAAAATTTTCTCCACTCATATTTCTGGTGACTTCTTCGAATGGTTCTAGAATCATGACCAGTTCAGAGCAAATCTTCCACTCGTCTTCACTGAGTACTGGAATATTTTTGTTTATTAAGGCAATTGTTGTTTTAACAGCATCCTTCAACTCAAAAATTCTCTGAATCATGAAGTACGTTGAGTTCCATCTTGTTGGTACCTCCTGAATTAATTTTCTGGGGTTCAGTCCCATGTTGGTTTGAACATCTCTTAACTTAGCAGTTGAAGTTGTGCTCCTTTTGAAAAAGGTAACAATACTTTTAATACGATCTGTTAAATTTTGAATAAGTTTTAATGCATCTTGCAAAATCAAATTAAGCGTATGAGCAAAACAACCAAAATGTTTCATTTTTAGCTCGTTTCATTTAGGTGAAATTTATTTATTATTTTATTTATTTCTAAAGCTAAGTTTGCACTCGTATGGGAAGAGTTCATTACCGAGCATTCCAGTAAAATAGATCTCAACTCAAAATCGTCTGATATATGATGAGAAGTTAGAGCCAAATAATTATCTACGTTCGTAGAAGTCCAAGTATCTGTAGTTAAAGTTGCATTTGTTATTGATAACACTTCGTGTCTAACAGCATTCAAACATCTTTCATATTCTGCTGGTATCATGCAGCTGGAAATAGTTTTTCTGTTTGGCAGGACGTAGCTGGGATTAAGGGCAGTCACAAATTTTTTAAAACCCCTATCTTCAACAATTGAAAACGGCTGGTAGTCTTCAACAAATAAATTTAATAGAACATTGTCCAATTTTTTTTTCTGTGTTTCACTAATGTTTTTTGGTTGTGAAATAAATGATCGAATACTTGGTTGATTTGTTGATAATTTACTAATCGAACTAGTGGAAGCGATATTGTCTATATTTACAATTTGCATTTCACTGTTACCATTTCTAGTACTGTTCGAAGTGGAAGGAACAATGACATCTACATTTGTGGATTCCTTTTCACCAGGTCGAGGTAAAGTAACAGTTGGATGTTTCCGTAATAAATGTTTCCTAAGATTTGAGACAGTAGTTTTATAGCTTTGCGATTGCCCACATACATCACATGCAGCAATTTTATTCACATTATCAGTAATATTAAAGTAAGACCACAAATAACTTGTCTTTTGTTTTTTTGCTCATTGTGATTTTAAACAAAACAAATAACCAAAAAAAATAACCACTTACAATAAAATACTTAATATTATTAACATACACTATACAGGCACTCGAGAATTTATTTTTACATTAACTACAAACAACTACACTAGAATAAGAGCAAGCAAATTCTAATAATATACTAACAATAAACATAGTCTCCGTCTTAATAAATCGTACGTGCTTACGGTGGTGTTCCCAGCTATTTAAGTGGCAAAACATAAAGCCCATCATAAATTTGGTGACAATGACCATCCTATTCTGTTACCTATTAAGCTACCGATTACCGATATTGTCACGTCAAAATACTAAATGCCGATTCGAATACCACTAATACCAGGGCGTTTTAGGTTACAGTAACACTGTGACAAAAGTAATAGGCAGTTTGCTGTAACCTATTATTTAGAAAACGAATACTTATTGGTAATAGTGTTATTAATCCGAATACGTTATATAACGCCCATCTTTAATTTAAAGTTAATTGTCACGGTAATGCGAAACTTTACACTTGTGTATATTGGCGACACAAAATACCAAAAGAAGTCAAATTCTTTGTACTTAAAACATAATAAATGAGATAGCAAGTTTAACAGGAAGCAATGTATTTTAACAAAGTCGTTAAAATACAGCATTGAATTAGATCACATTACAGTAACAGAAAAATATTAGATGTAAAAATATGAAAAGTATATACTTTTCCAAACATTCTCCCACACCAAAAACGAATGTTTTTAAGAACAGCTAAAAGTATAAGTATAAAGAATAGATATGAAAAGATCGATATACTAATAAAGAACTATACTAAAGTAAGAATAAAATATGAATTGACCAATAAGCGGCGGTCATATTTTGACCACAGATCATTGTTGGATACCATCTGAAACTGTGCTCAGATTCCTCAGATTAACAACGCGTACAATGTCATCAATTAGAAAAGAATAGCGTCGAATCAGTAGAATTTTTCGACCGGCTAATCTAGAAAGACCGTGTCAAACACAATACTGCTTTTGATTTGGCGCAATTATTGAAATAATTGTGCCGGTGATAAAACACGACTATCACCATCAGAGAGGTGTTGATTAGAAGGCATATAATGCCGAGTAGAGTGTGATATCAATTCTTATATGTGTTTAATACGATTGACAATTTATGAGTAGAAAAATTACCTCAAGGGAGCGCAATCGTTGAGTCAAATCAAATATCGGAAGGAGAATCCTTTGAGAAAGGTGACTAGATCAGCCAGCAATATGACTGCCAAGAGTTCCAGTCAACTCTTCTCCAATATAATCACATCTTACATGCTTCCAGATTTCTGCACATATCTTCATTCAAGGTCCACGATTCAACGTCAAAAAAAGAGAATAGAGAAGACGTAGCATCGCAGCATTCTTATTTTTGTATCAAGAGAAGTTGTGACTCTTGAAGAAGCCCCCCTTCCCCCTTCGATCCGATTAAAGGTGGATCTAGCTATTCCTAGCATTTTTTGGCTCCTGTTTTTTTTTGGCTGTGCAATAAACTCAGATTGCAGCCATTCTATTGGTATTTCTCCAGAGTTGTATATGTTGTTGAATATCTTTGCCATTATTGCTATTGATTCGTTGTACATTAGTTTGAGTAGTTCTGTAACATTCATCCCACCAGTAATTTGTACATTCGTACGATAAACAGCGAGTTTTGTTTTGTAATAAAGCTTACTTGCGTTAATAACTTGACATATTTTAACTGCTTGCATGTCTATACAAAAAACGTAGACAGAACCTTGAATGGCTAGCTGCTTGTCTGCGTCTTTTTCTTTTCTTACTGCATTTTTTTTTTCAAGATGTATATGGTATAAATTTTATTCAACGTTTTTCGTTTCGTAACCACAACAGATATAGCATCGATCTTTACGTGGTTTGTACAGTGAAATGTTCATATAAAAAAAATGTTATCTAATATTGTATTGCTGACTATCAAATTAACCATCTTGTTATCTGCGCAAAATTTTCTATACTCTCGAATATATCCTGTTTGCTCCAAATACAATTTTGAGGTTTCTCTTCTACAATAGTGCGAAGGCACCTTCGCTAAAAATTTCACTTCACTGTTAAAAATTCACTTAAATTTTCTCGTTTTAATTTGTTACTATTTGAAACGCATCTTTGGTTAACGGCAGACGAGAATGAATGAAGCCCGTATTCCATTCCTTTTAATCAATCGTGTACCATATCTTCTTTGAGACCAAAAATGTACATATTTTTGCATACCCTCAATTTGACATTGCCATCATTCCTTAAATAGTAGTAATAAGTGCCTTGTTTTCTAGACTTCGTCAACTAAACTTCTTGTCTTCAGTAAATATGCAATATTCGAAGTACCTAGCGTATATTTTCTTTTCACTCTAATTCATGTTTTACTAAAAATTTTTAAATAATAATTTAAAATTAAACAAAAAGCAGTTACTTACCATAAATGATGCCATCGTCAAGGAAAAATCACGTTTTTATACCAATTTGACCACAATCTAACAACATGCATAAGAAACTAATAGGATACGGGTTATTACACGGCGCCAAATGACTGTAGTAGATACGGAGTATTAGAAACATGCTATTCAAAGACCTTAAAATTTTATTTCAGATTCGGGATTTTGTAAACAGATAGAACATTCCTTCTTTATCATTATTAGAATGGGACCGTCGATATGTATTATATATCCAAAGAGAGAATTCGGAAGAATTATTTTTCTGTAACGGAAATTTTTCTTAAAATTCGGAAACTCACTAAACTAAAAATAAACTTCTGTTAAATGTAATATATTTATTTATTAATTCAAATAATTTTGTTTACAAACAAAAACAACTATGGATACTCCTATAAAGATCAAAACATGACAAGACAAAAACATATTTCAACAGTACACGAACTATTTTTTGCAGATAACAGTAACAATATAATAATAGCCAAAAATTTCAATTGCACAATTTGTAAAAAAAAATACAAACAACTACTAGTAGAGGTAATAAGTCATTTTAATTTTATAGGAGTTATCCGTGATCACCAAAAGATAATATGTAACAAAATAAAAATAAATATCTGAAATAGGACCTAGATTCTAGGTAATTATCAAAAGTGCATTATGATTAATGTATTCCCGATATATTTCTAAACATTATTTCATAATTATGCGTGTAAACAACTTTTAGCAGTTTGTAAATCATGTATAGGGTATTCAGAAGTAGAAAATTGTTACAAAATACAACATCAACAAGACAAAAGCTATTTGCAGAATGTAAGAAAATCCATTCAGTGATTGTTCAAAAGATCAGAACGTTTTCATTTTTATTAACGATTTTATAGAATTGTGGAAAAAAGGACTTCTTCAGTGTATGAACTGAACGCCTGAGAATAGCAGAATATCCTAATAATTCCTGAAAAGCGTCCGAAATTGAAGTAGGATTACTAAAATACACATCCACGATTACATTTCTTAGTATTTGGATCAAACACTAAACAATGTATTGGTAAATAGAGACAATGAAGTAGGAATTTGTTGAAATCATGAACTTAATTATTAGATGTATAACATTTGTTGGAAGTAAGTTTTTGTTTTCCCTTTCATCTGCAATTTTTAACTAGTTATGATATCAAAATTAAAAAAAAAAAAAACACTGTTACTACACACTATATCTTGTAACACAAGTGATTCTTTGATAGAAAGCGTACATAAAAGAATCGTTTGTGAACTTTTAAATATATTCAACTGTTTTTCGTCGCTCTAAGTTTACAATAATTTAAAAATATTAACTGTCAGTCCTGACCAAGTAAATAAAATGTATTTTTCTGAATACCGTATACACAAAAGTATATAGTAGGAGTATAAATAAAAAAAACCTGTTCCAAAATTTGCACTACTGAAAAATGTTATAAAAACTGAAGGCAATACAAATATGTAAATCTAGAAATCAATTGAAATTGTTCAATTTTTGGGAGTGTGATATAAATTCTTCATAAGACGAAAAACACATAAAAGTTTTAGGTTCTTTTTTTTATTTTGTTCTAAGTTCTAGAGTAACAGAAGTTAGGTGTATAACTGAAAACATTCATAAACAAAGTGTTAATTACATTGCAGACAGCTGTAACAAAGGTTAATATATTTTCAACACCTCTTTGTTACACAATCATTACTGTTTCAGTACATGACAAACGTGACATGGTGACAAATCCTCACAACAAACCATTATGGTATTTTAGGGAACTGAAACCACCTTAATTAACCATATAATTAACATTTCGTGATTTTTTAGATAATATACAGTGTTGCTCTGTAACTTGAGTGAAAAAACCAATAAACATAACTTTTATGTGTTTTTGTTTTACTTAAAATTTCTTACATTACACTTCCAAAATGGACACAGCAATAGGGGACACCTCATATTTTATAAGATATTCGATTTATGTTTTCTTTTCGCATAATTTCTGCCTTTTCAAAATTATAGATCATGGAATTTTTCCATGACTATGAAAGGCGTTGTTGCAACAGGATCTTCCGAACGGGCGGAAGCTGTTCTGACAACTGTCAGCGACCAGCATCCTTTGACAGTTGCCACATCGCTTTCGATAATATCTGCCAGGGCTGCAGATTGAAAATTAGAATGAAGTAAGTCTATATTCACAATTTAAGGCCTAGCGGTATAAGTTTGGAAACAAAAATGCCTCATTATAAGACACCGGTCGTGAAAGTGTATCCTTGATCTGGAGCTATTTCATTGCCCTTAAATTTGGTATTAAATTTGTGCGTGAATTAATATAAGTAAAAATACCAAAACCTTTAACTTTTAGCTCTATGTGTTGGTCGTCGATGTAGATACATGTTGTGTCTCTGTACACCACATGTATCTAACACGTTACTATATCAAAACGAACAACTCCACTTTTTGCAAAATTGATTGATTTAACGACACACGACAGAATTCTTTCTGTCAAAACGATTTGACAGAAAGAAGAATTGACACGGAAAAGACAAATTGACAGTTGAAATAACAGCTGAAGTCATAGCTGCCATCTTCTGACGTCAGAGTGGGAGTGGAGGGGATGCCCCATACTCTGCTGTTAAAAAAACTTGGTTTTTTGAAACTTCCTCCTGTACGGCCTATATATACTTTTGAATATGTAAAATTATCCGACCTGGATATAAAATAAAAATTTGCAAAAATACTACAATTATTATTTTTGCAAATTTAGCACAAATGCATTTACCAAAAAACTACTTCATTTCATTTGTGTTAACAGTAAATACATGAATATCTGATACTGAGTGGGCCACCGAAAACAGTCCACCCTGATTTTTAGAATTATTTGATGCATTAGCAAAACAAAAGCATTGCATTTAATTTTTCAATGTATAAAACTTTCAATATTACTTTTTCATTAAACTGAAGTTTTAATCGGAAAAAGAGTGGGTGCCTGAATACTCGATCAATATGCTCCTCTTATGATATGCTACACATGGTATATTCCTTACTCAAAATTAGAACTGAAAGGGAAGGAGTTGACAAATGACAGATCATTAAAATGTATTCCCTTTGGAATAAAAATCAACCTGTTTTAATATTTAATTAAAACATTAGGGTGTATTGTTTTCAGTGACCCTCTTTAAAGATATAATTACTTCGATTAAATTGAATTCCAGATTGCTATATGAAGATCTGTATTACCTTCGATTAAAAAAAATGTAAAGTACTACGAAAATACCCCTTTACCTTTTAATAAGTGTAACATATGTTGCATATATTTATAAATTTTAATGAAACTAAATCACAGTCGAATTTAATAAAAAATCATTTTTCAAGTGGTGTCAAATTTTGATAAGATGTATGTCTTTGAAACAAGACCAAAACGCAAGGTATTCTATTCCAATTTTCTCATTTTCACCCAGCTTTAGATACTCAATTAGGAATTGGGGTAAATGAGTATCTAGAGGCGTCTCATATTGTGAAATATTCCGAACTCGTACAAATGAATGGGCAGAGTTGTGAATTTCATAACTTTTACCTAAAAGCAGTGAATGTTTTGGGCATAGCTCATAGATGACCATTATGAATTAAATTAGTATTATTTGTTGTTAATAGATAAGTAAAAGGCACAATTATACATAAGTTAAATGTTACGGAATTCAACCAAAACAAAAAATACCCAGTTAGGCATTTAGGCACATTAACAACAAATGAAATATAACAAATCTATGGAGGGATAAATTGAAAAATGGTTAGTAGAGACGAAAAAAACTATATAACTCTCGTGAACCTTGATGACAGCTATTACAGGGAGGCCAAAATTTCAACATTTGGGACAGTATAAATAAGTGGCTAGTATCCATCTAATATCTATATCTGCAACATTTTTACGAGTTCAAATTCATCCACATTTTGCGTCTAAATAACCATTTACCGGAAATAGACTTTGGAATAAAAATATAAATAAATTTAGAATTAACTTAATAAAAAAATAGTAGGTACTTAACAATTTTAACTAAATAACTCAAAAAGTTCAACAGGTTATTCGAATACTAGGTTTGGGTAAATGAGATTTTGTGTAATAAAATATAAAACATTACAACATGGAGATATAATACTTATACCTAATCCTAACATGCGATCTGGATGCTGCAACAGCTAAAATTGTCAAAAGTTCAGATATTTTTGTGGTCACAAGCAGTGGCGACTCGTGACATTTGTTATTCAAATTAAATGCTATACAAATAAAAAATATATTAAAAGGAAAAAAGTCTCGTTATTTAATTGCAACACCTCATATATCACGTCAAAATTTAAAAAATCGGTCCTTATTCAAATAAAATGCTATTCACAAGTTTTCCAAAACAAAATCAACATAATTATTCTCACGATTTTAGTAGTTTCAACATTAGACGCATCCAGATCTCAAATAACAAACAAATAATATTTTTTGTGCATAGTATTGCAACTAATCTATTGATCAGGAAAAATGTTCTTGTTTATGGCAAGAAACCTAACTTCTAATTTTTTTGTTCCCCTATATATACACTTTCTGTAAGAATTTTACAATACAATACTATGTTTTATGTTTATATTTTTAAAAACATCTTTTTAAAATACTGACCAACGCTGTACAAGTTACAAATCGTTCCCATTCTCATTAAAATCTGTTTTTCGTAATCACATATTTTCGATTATTGCACTCATCTACAACCAAACGTTTTAAGTAAACCAGCTACTTGTACAACTACTACAACAACCAAATTAATTACCAGGGAGTGTTGAAAAGCAATCAGTTTATAATTTGGCCAACGAATTGTTTCACTCAATTAATAAAACAAATGAAATTGATATCACTTAAAACACATTAATTTATATGTAATAGCATACTTTTTAGTCATCATGAATGTTTTTTCAAATAAGAGTTTGCTTTATGTTTAAATTTTTTATTTTGATTCATGGGTATATGAAAGAATTTACACCTTAGGAATCATTCTCACAGATTATCAAGTCTTTCATCATTATCTTTGATCACCAGAGAGGTACAACAGAATTTTATGAAACCAACCTTAGTAATGAGGGAATATCCAAACAGAGAATATATTATCTGAAACATATGGTATCTTACTTGTCCCCATCTTTGGTACCTCACTTGTCCCCATTTTTGGTACCTCCTATCTCTGGTACCACAAAGCTCACAACTAAAATAAAAAATATGAAGATTGTACTTGGAAGACCTCATTATAAATCTAGAAGTGACATTTTTGTTGGATCAGATATAAATGTCTACTTACTTTACTTGTGAAAACGATATTAAAATTCTCATTATTAAGAACTGAGGATGAAATATGGTTATAAAGAGACCAATCAGACTGAGGAATGACTGAAGTAGTGAACTTAATATCTACATGTAATTCGGAAGCAGAAGTTCCTATCTTTCTTTAGCAGCGGAAAATAAACAAAAGCGTAAAAATAACGAAATTAATAAACAAAAAAATTACAGATCCAATCTCCAGAACACAACATGGACCCATCATTTGTAAGATATTAGTTGCAGAGAACCCTGCAAGAATCTCTTCTATTTTTAAGAGATGTTTCAACTTAAAAATTGCCAAATAGATGACAAAGAAGTATACCAAAATACGTTGATTTTTGTTAAACTTATGACAAAGGTATCTAGAGAACATGTTTAAGGGATTGCAGGATAGAATATAAATAATTATTGATTGCTTTTCAATACTGAGCAAAATCAAAAAAGAAGAACACTCCAAATTCGTTTAAATTTTTAGCTTAAACCATTTCTTTATTTAAAAGTACTCTAATAGTACGGACAATTTAATAATTATTTTAACAAACCATCCATGTCATTCTTTTTTAAAGTTATACGGTAAATTTTTTATCTATACATCAATATTCTCGTGTTGATCCAAAAAGGCACGTAATATTAAAGTTAGTCAGTACTTTAACGTAAAAGTAACGAAAAGTACAATGTATTACATGTTATTTTGTTTTTCATACAAGATTGTCTAGGCTTACATGTCCTAATCTGGAGGTAGATAGCTGAACAGCTTAAATTTATTCCGAATGTGCGGTCTGACATCTTCTTTCTGTAAAAAAAAAATATTTTATGTGTATATCTAAGGATTTAATAAACAATTTTCGACTACATTTGACAAAATTCGAATCTCAGATTGTCAACGTCTGTAAAATAAATTTCCTAACATATATTTAAAAGGTGCTTAGAAAGGCATAATAATAACGTGTATTAAAAAAAAACTTAATCAAAGCAGGCCTTGAATAAGTCTTGCATTAAGACTCTTAAAGCAAGCCTTTCTTCTTGAGAGTTATTTGTCAGTAATATATTAAAATTGATCAACAGCATAGAGCTGTTAAGATTCGCTTATAGCAGTGAATCACTCCGCGTTTCTGTGTACTGTTTGTTGTATGACTTTGCTTTCGTTACAATTTTCTCCCACTCATTTCGATCTGTGCATAGGTTCCTCCAGTTTTTCACTTTCAAGATTTTGATATCTCTCATGACCTGGTCCTCCCTTTTCTCTCTGGGTCTTCCTGTTGGTCTTTCAGTTTCTGGCTTTCTGGTAACCTTCTTAATCAGTAGTTGATTCTCTCGATGTGTCCCAGCCATCTCCATCTTTGATACTCATCCTATAATCTGGAATGCTTAAAGTCCTGAACGTACTGGATTAAAGGAAGTTTATTGTATACATAAATACGCTTCACAAATATGTTTCAATACATAAAAATTTAAGACTTTTACCTTCAAGGTATTTTATCTTCACCCTTATGAACATATTATTTAAATATACATTGACTTCAGAATTAGTCAAGTTCTTTTTTTGAGTAGCAGACCTAGCATACCAGATCAGCAAAGTGAGTAGATTTGTTTTCTTCAATCTACTGTAACTTCTTGACAATTATTGTCATATTTTTTATTCCTAGATGGATTTTTTTGTATTCCCTTTGTCGGTATTTCATATTCATTTGATTTATCTACATTTCACTGGGACAAAAGAGACACAAACCCACCTTCTAGCCGAAGTGAAAGCAGCTGTCAAAAAAACTAAAAATAGTCACCTGGACCAGATAATATTAGTGCAGAACTGATGAAAGAAGGCGGAGATTCACTATAATCAGTACTTAGCTAACAAAAGGTCTATCAAAGTACTTAGCTAACAAATGTCTGTCTCAAAAAACTCATATAAGGCAGTATAGAACACTGATAATCCCCATTCTCACATATGGATCAGAGGCATGGACGCTAACTAAAACAGATGAATCCGCTCTATCGATTTTTGAAAGAAAGGTGCTACACAAGATATTTGGAGCGGTCTGTGAGAACGGAATATGAAGGCATAGATATAACTTTGAACTGCAGAGTATCTACAAGCATACATTTGGTGGTAAAGATATTACCACTATAATTAGGTAAGTGAAACCGCCTACAGCGGGCAGGACATGTAGCTTGGGCCCCTGAATCGAACATGATAAAAAAGATTCTAACAGAGCAACCCGTTGGAATGAGAAGATGGGGTAGACCAAAGCTGAAGTGGATGGACAGGGTAACAAAGATGCCGAGAAGATCGGAGTCGGCAACTGGAAAATGCAAGCAAGGGACAGAACAGAATGGCGTAGAAAACTCGAGAAGGTAGAGGCCCTCTAAGGGCTGTACCACCAAGATGATAATGCGTCTATGGTAGAATTTTACACTGTGCTGCTTCTTTTGCTATTTTCTCTACACCTTTTTTTGTCATGCTATTATTATTTGATCACTGCTATGACTAGATGATATTTCTTGTTAGTGACTCTTATCTGTGATTGGACAAATACCAGAAATTATAGTGACTCAAACTAAACTACATAATATGTGTCTGGTATGTACATAGACTTACATTTTGGAAATAATAAAATAAAATGTATAAGTATCTTCAACGAATACCTATAGCTGTGTTGAATGTATATATTTCTTAATAAATGTATTTAAAATAAGCAATCGCATTTAGTACTTACCACTGTCACCAGACTCTCTAAAAACGGTAACAACTTTATTAATTCAGAGTCACTCCTATCTTCAAACCAACTTTCAATGGGAATTCCATTATTCAACTAAAACAAATGAAAAGTATTTGTGGAAATGTTACATAACTATTTAAAATTATTTGAAGATAAAATTCCAACTCACTACAGTTGGCTTCAAAGTACAACAATAAAGTACTTACATGGTAACCAAATGCCTGTGGAGAGTTATCGATGATAATTGTCTTGGACAAATCTCTGCCGAGTATAGAAAGATCCTTAATATAGTTGCCATTGACGCAAACGCAGTGTTCCCTAAAAAGTCTGTATTTAATCCATTTTCTTTCTGGATCCAACAAATTAAGCAGTTTATCGGCATAAACTCTCTTAGATGCCGTGAAAAGTATCACTTCGAACATCTGTGAGACTTTTTCCATGAATTCTCTGAAGAAAGGTCTTGTTCTAACATATACAGTATAAGAACAATCTTGAAATAGCACCGGAAAATGAAAACTGGCATCTTTGAGTTCTTGTAGGCTACAGTGGACTAAAGTTTCGTCGAGATCTAACACCTGAAAATATTTCCACAATCATTTATATGAATAGGAAATTTAGGGAATACATAACAATATCAATATTTTAAAAATATGAAACCATATTGTCACTCTTTATTATTTGAGCCATTCAAAACTAGAGTGGTCTAAATCAGAAATGCTGGTATTCTAGAAACAGTAACTTAACACTTAGACTGCCGCCATAGTGAAAAAAAGAGGCATGGCAGTCAAAGTGTTAATGTTAACATATTGGCGTAAATGGGAACATAGAAACTGACTGTGGTGTGATTATTTATTCATTTTATAATAAATTTGTATAGACGTTGCGCTGGTATTCTTTGTATTACATTTGAGAATAAAATAGAAAAAAAGCTTTATTCTCAGGATTCACAAGTTACACACAAATATAAATTGTCAATAGAGAGTGGTGTCTCTATATTGTCTCTCGTTCACTACTACATGTAGTGTATGGGCGCGATCGTTACATTTTATCGTTTTAGAAGTTTTTTTTTTCACACTCAGAAAAATTCAGCCTGTTCCTCTAGGTTTTGAATCATAAAGAAAAGCCTATATTAAATAAATATTATAAATAAAAGTCATAATTAGTAACTTACCAGGCTAAAATCTGGACTAGATCTCGTTTTCAATGGTAAAGCAGGGCACTTAGCTCTCATCTCACAAGTCAAAGGAGGCAGGTGTTTGATGAACAAATACGGATCAAAAGCATCCCAAGTATCTTCAACCTCAATGTGTTCTGGTTGTCTATCTAGCCGCTCAACTTCTTGTGACGAAACACTAGTGATCATGTGATTATCAGGAATATTTGAAGTGTACAGTGTAGTGTAATCATACACATTTTGCATGTTAACATCTTTTGACATTTCCTCATCTAACATGTTGGTAAAATCTTGAGTGTTAACGTTATTTAGATCATTAATATCTATTTGGAGCTCAGGATATTCACCTTTCATAGAAGGGTATTCATAATACATGGTCTCACAAATTTTCTCTGCAAACATATTGTATGGGTACTTATCCTTTTGATATTCACAAGCTTTTTTATCAGCGATATATTGCATTTTTTCATTGTAATTAAGATTTTCTATAGTATTAAGTTCGATGGTGGAATACTCTATTTCTTTTGGAAGGTCTGTATTGATCATTTCAGATTGTGTTTCATAAGAACTGGTACCAGAAGGAGTACTATCAAAATACTCGTAACATCTACTAGTTGCTGACATATCACTGGTAGGAGGGACATTATTCAAGGTCTCAAGAGTTTTGGTCCCTTCTTCATATAATTGGGGAACTACCTGGGATTGATAGTTTTCTTTACATTCTTCAGAAATTTTTGGTTTCTGAGGTTCCTTGGTTTTCACAAATTTCTTTTTGACAGATTTAAGACAGTTTTTGTAAAGCGACACGGTTCTGGATTTGGGAACCCAGCCAGTCTTTTTAGGTTTTCTTTTGGGTTTGTTTGCTGCCAAGGAAAATTTATGAAATCCCCTGTTTCTTTTCTCACTTCGTAACCACATTATGATCACCCATTTATACTGAAAATAATATTTAACATGAAAATAAAAGTCAACTACAGAAAGCTCTGATATAATTGTTTATAGACATTTATTTATTGCAATATTAATATTGCATATATAGTAAGTTTTTTCCAGTCAGCAGGTGCCTCCCCAGGTGGCAGATAGGGAAATGTTTCCCAGACATGGCTAGTAAGTACCGAGGAATTAAAATACTCAAAGCAAACCAAAACTCTAGCAAATCTAGTAAAACCTGAGTTCAAATGGATCAGAATTATTGTGAAACTAACAGCATGTGGCTCAATAGTGAAAAATATAGAACAAACATTAGTACAGCAGTGCAGAAAGCGAGACGAAAGTACTGCACTATTTTTTTCCTAGAACAAGCACTCATATTGAAGACAAACACGATAACTCCCATCCGTGGTAGATCTTTGAAGGTCATCAGAAGGCAACTAAACATATAAAATAGATTTTATATTACATTTTTGTTGATTGTCAAAAATTAAATCATCTTGTATTATTTAATATTTTATTGGCAATTAAATAGAGAGTAAAGGTATGCCAATAGGCAACATTGTAATTTAAAACATGGAGAGAGTTTTTGTAAACAGTGGTTAACTTACCATTTTTATAATATCAACTGTTAAATTTGCGTTCCATTGCTACATCTGGATAATTTTGTTTTTTATTGAGAGGTAAGGCAAAATTATAAGTCAAAGGAAGACTATTTGCAGTATATATTCCATCTGTTATTCAAGGAATAAAAATGGATATAACAAATGGTACAAGTAGATGACATCACATGTAAGAGATCTACCTTGCAAGAGCAAAAACAATTATATGATGGACTAAAAAATAATATATTCAATGGAAGCTGTTCTTTTTTAACAGGATTGCCAGTGGCTACTGTTAAACACATGTAAAAAAACACAAAAACTGACAAATCTTTTAAAACCTACAAATACAAATCAGCATGGACGAACACCTATAAAATGAGCCTATAAAGTTGGATGAGCACCAAAAAATATACTCGACAGAACTGTACATTCGGTTTTCTTTGAAAATAGGCTCTATCCAACACCAAATCTGTTTTAAGTACACATACAAAATTGACAATTTTCCTAAAATATATTGTGGATCATTGCACAAAGCATTACATGATCTTTCAATATATAAAATTTGATTCTAATAGAGTTAGAATGGGAATTCCATTTTAAAAGATAAGAGAGTAATATCATGCATAATTATCTATGCTCAATTCGTGAAAATTGTGTGGCAAAAAGAAAAATTTATTACCTTGACGAGACTTGGTCATGGAATGATGAGCATACAGTCTTTGAGTAATTACAAAGATGTAATTCAAAGTTATAATCTAACTACATTTAAAGGGTTTTTACCCATATATTTAGTGGCTTAAAACATGTAAATCCAGATAGCACTGCTGATGGAATAGTTATTCCCGAAAATATTCTATGAAGTAGTCTGATAGGGTTTTTATATTAATATACCTTTTATAGAGGAATTTTTAAAAAAATTTGTGATTCGTGGTATACCTATCCAACTAAAGAAATTCAGGTTCATTGTGGAGAAGAGAATATGTGGAAGTCGGTTTGGGATGGTGTGGGATAATGGAAAATATTAATGAACCAACAAATCAGAAGACTCAAAGGATTCCGATGATTTATAAATTATAACGTAAAAATTTATAAAGATTTATAAAGTTATAAGTAAAAAGTTGGAGTTGAATGAATTTACTATATTTGTGATATTACAGCGAAATTGATAAATGAATGTCCCCCCCTCCCCCATGTCCTTGGCCCAAGAATACTATAAAAGTCACTGCCTCGTCTGACAATGATGTACACATTTCACTTTTCCAAGTAAGTAAAAATATGACACATTTCCTAAGGAAACCATATCAGTCATATATAAGGGATGTTTCTTCATAAGATCTATATCATTTTCATAAGCCAAAATCTATGCTTTTGCTCAGCTATGCATGCTGAATGTCAGAATAAGGCCAGCTTTTGACCTTTCGCTATACTCAAGGTTTCTGTCCTTGTTGAGCTGGCTGTTGGGGTGACCTGTGTTATTATTTGACTGATGTACGATCTAAGTCAAACTTTTGGCTGGACATTCTAGTACTAGCTGAATCTCTGAAAGACTAAGCCTTATCTGAAATATGAAATGATTTCCTAGTACCACTGAAAATTACAACACTGATTTGGACTAGTAAACAAATCCTAGCGTATTTCTTCACACTCCATAAATAGTTCAAATATTCAAGTAATATAACCAGTAATCGAAATACATTTAATATCTCATTGCTGCCTTTAATAGTGTCTGCCACACAAATACAGACTATGCCTTATGAACTCAGAAATTACTGTTACAGTAAAAAATTTTTTGTGTAAAAATAAGTCATCAAATTTTGCATTTGATGAATGCAGAGCAAAAATGTGAATGGTTAACAATCAAGGTGAAACATTGTTTGAAAAGTTCTTTGGAAGATCTTCAAGTCATTCAACATTGTTATAGATGGTGAATCATGGTTTTCAATTGTGATAAAAATGTGATACACTAAAATGTAACAATAAAAATATTTGTACCTATGAAAACAGATAAGCTATCATTTGAAGAAAGGAATGCAGAAGTTTATAAGAAGCATATCAACAAATTATCGGTTTAGATTGGTATTATACTGAAACTTGTCTTCCTACACTTCTGTAAACCAAATATCAAGGAATATAGACACATATGCATCTATATTCCTTGCAAATACCATTACAGTGGGCTACAGAATATCTTTTTGACTACATGACATGGGATAAAAAATTCTTAAAATAAACTAAAAATCCTCTATGTATTAGAGATCTTTTAATAACAGTTGTTGGACATCTTTAAAAAATGAAACATAAAGTGGAAAATGTATTATACTAAGACTAGTCAACGGCAGAGGAGTAACTCTTATAAAAAAAATTATGGGTTCTTTTTACTAATAATTTATAGAAAACTCGTCCTTTTTATACAAACAAAAAAATACGCGAATATAAACTGCTTAAAAATACAATTCATGCATTGATTTATCCATTCCTCGGACAAAAATAACTTGGAAAAGTAAATATGCATCCTAAGATAATGAGCAACACCTGTGAAATGCAATATTGATTTTACACTTCGGGAATGATGTAATTCCGATAGCCGCATCAAACATTCTCTTTTTTCCAATCAAAACTAAAACAAGCTCATGCCAAAAATTACAAAAAAAAGCTAGACGCGAAACAAATTTAAAACTAAGCTAAAATGAACCTTATTGATTTTAGAAATGAAGCAAAAATTCGTATGTTAAAAAGAGGCGTAAACTTTTTCCCGCTTTGTAAAAACCTATAATAAAATCTTGAAAACTGGAAATGATTCAAAGAAATCCTAACAAGTTTTAACAAGTGAATCATTCCTAGACGCATATCAACTTTTTTACCTTGACTGTTTACAAACAGAACTAGAAGCCGCTTTGTATGTTTTCATAACAATTGGTCGGAAAAGATCCATAAAACCGGTTTATTGTATTTACTTATATTTAATTACTTACCCGAAAAACAGGAGACTTCCTTTTAATCACTTATGTATTATCCAATCCATTAATCATTCCAATAATTCCGCGTTACCATTAAAACACAAAGCACTTTATCAAAATGGCGGCCCACGCGATTCTGATTGATATTTTTGACTCAGCACATGCGCATACAAAAACAGGTTTATAGGTAAAAGGTAAAAAAAAACTGCAAGAATGCATTATTTATATCTTTCTTACGAATGTAAAGTCTATTAAATATGCAGATGTTTAAGCTTAAATGTAAAATATACGTTGGTAATTTGTGTAAATAAAAAAGATACTTGCTTTTGATCACTTATCAATTCTATTTTAAATAGCCCGCCATGTAGTAGACAAAGATAGTTATATATTTTATGACTCACAAATAAAATTTGTCATTTTAGATTTGTATAAATATAAATATAAATATTAATAATTGTGTTGGAAATTTTAAGTACTATGATATGTACTTTTCCTAATGTTTATATTTATTATCTTATATGCCGATATTTTGCATAGATGTAAACCGTATGTCTGTCTTGTCATTAATATGTTAATATTATCTAAGCGTAGTTGTCATTATGGTTACTTTATATTTTAGATATTTTATAAACAAATTACAAATGCTATCTCATAATAAACAAATTCTTAATTTTAGTCAATTGAATCTTAAAATGTAAGATTGTACCTATTTATAAACTTGCATAGTGCATATAAACAGGTGTACTATAAAAACAAGCACACACCCCCTTTCCAGGTTAGGCTTGGGCAGTGTACAGGTTGGTAGTAAGAATTTTTAGTTAAAAAAAAAGTAAAGTGAAAAAAGCAAATCAATCTCTTAATTTCTCAAAAAATGCTGTTACATTAGACTAGTACATACAAAGTGTACAAGGGATGATGTTTTTTCATAAAAATTTTAGAAGTATATTTTTTTCGCTACAACTTGCTTCTTCTTCCTCTTCTTGTACCTTGTAGTTAGTTGCAAGTTGGCAGTTGTCTCTACTGTTTAAACTATTTATTTTAGTTTAAATTAAAGAGTTTTCGGCTCTTCGAAGTATGCTGACAATATCTTTGGTTACACAACCTTTACATTTTTTAGCGTTTCCCAGGAATGCCGTTTTCTTCCTAGGTCTTCTATCGTGTAAGCCATTTGTATGGTTGCAAAAATAAACATTCACATTCAATTGAAAAATCAGAATAAACTTAGATTTCGACAAATAAAAATGTATCATTGTTCTCACTTAACTATTTACCTTGAAACATTGAAAAACCTACACTTGCTCTCAAATAATGATAATAATTTTTCTCTGGCACTATTACATGGTGATCATGCGGTTTTTGTTAAGTATTTACAGTAAGTAGATAAGTGCACAGTTTAGTAGCTAAGTAAATTAGAAATTAATTATGAAATGAGAAAGGAAATAAGAATAAGGGAAGTAAGTTAAAAAGTTATTAAACTCGAAGTTTAATAACTATTACCCCCCGTTTCTCAGTCAAAAACACCAGTCATCTAGTCAATAACCTAACAGATTAATCTTCGCGTCAACACTACTAGGCTCTCATTTGATGTCAGCAATCTATTCACTTCTGTCCCTAAACAAGAAACAATTAATCTGGTTCACTCTCTTCTAAGAGCCAATTTCATCACCTTGTCTACTACCAACTCCACTGTCCAACTATTAAAACTTTGCTTAGATTAAAATTTCTTTATTTTTAATAACAAATATTACAGACAACCTGTTCGCTTAGCCATGGGCAACTGTCTCTCTCCTCTATTAGCTGATGTATTTATTATTTAGAATCCACACAGATCATGAAATATCCTGAAATACTCCATTGGCTTCGCTATGTTGACGACTGTTTAGTCTTCATTTCAGGTAACTCCAACTCAACTGATCTATTACTTTATAAAATGAACCAAATTCACCCCAACATTAAGTTAACCATGGAACTAGAATCCTCCAAGTCAATCAATGTTCTTGATCTCACCATTACCAGATTAAATGTCAACTTCGACTTCAGTGTATATAGGAAACCCACACATTCCCACACATACCGACCATGTTATACCTTTCTCTTCAAATAACCTTATGTCACACAAATATGCAGCTTTTCACAGTTACATCTATCGCCTGAAAACTATTCCACTTTCTCCGTCGAACTATAAAAAATAATTTAATATTCTCAGACAAATAGCAGTCAATAATGGATATGATCAAAACATCATCAATAAACTCATCCATAGAAGACGCCTTTAAAACCTGCAAGAGACTGCGTTCCCCAGAGGCTTTACCACTAAACATAATTACGCTTCATTTCCGAAACTTTATGAGATTCGAAATCTCATAAAACGTTCAGTTGAAAACATCCACGTTTCTATTAAAGTACCAAATAATTTGGGCCAGTGTATATCTAATTCCAAAAACCCGTCAATTATATGAACCGTAGTGGTGTTTATAAACTAAAATGTTCAGATTGTGATGCCACCTACATAGGAAGAATTTGTAGATCACTGTCTTCACGTTCCTTAGAGCACACAAAAAGAGAAAACACTTCCAATTTCTCTCAACATCTAAAAGAACATAATCACGCCCTCAATATCCCAGAAGATGTATCACTTATTCACAATATTCCCCAAAAAGCTTCTTAAAACTAGACTTACATCAAGATATTGAAATTATCAAAGAAAAGCAGAAAAGTCCAAATTGTGTTAATCGCCATGCCTCATTCAATCGAGACTTCCTTTCCCTCCATCGCCAACTATTCTCATGACCCATATCCTCAATTTCTACTGCTACATTAAAATTTACATTTATCATTCTTCTTTTGTCATTTTATTCATCTTTCTCAGCTCACTACAAAGCTCTCCTTCAATGCATCTAACTTTTCCATCATTCCCCACTTCTTTCTGGTATTCTAAACTTCACGTCTGACTCCTAATATTCTTCATGCTCCTTTGCGACATAATTAAATTCAGATTTTACTATTCTACTACTATACTAGTATACTACTATTCTTTTCTCCCTCTATTAACCACTCCCAATCACACAATAATTCAATCTCTCACTCATACACATCCCTACATATTCACATACGCAACGTAACTTAAACATCCTAGTATATAAAATCAAATAATGTAACTCAAATTTAATTTAACAACATTTAAATGGTTTTTACCCAAGTATTTAGTGCCCAAAAACATGTACATCCAGTAAGTATACTCGGTTCGCTATTTCCAGTCCGAACTGTCTAGTGAATGTGTTCGTAGTTCTCTATTATTATATTGTATTTCTTGGCTGTTGTATTGAAGATGTGTGTTAATTTTTGGAGCTCGTCTTATTCGTTCCGTGGGTCTCCCCTCTATTTACAGTCATGTGACACGCTGTCAGATTTGTTAGGACGTTTTAGTATTGAGTCTTATGGGATTATTTTGTTAAACTTAAATATTTTATTTTGTAGTCTTAATATCCGGATACAATTTTTATAATTAATTAGTTATTTATTTATAGTGACATTTATAGTTCAACAAAAATATTTTTTGCCGTTAATAAAGATTTATTAACATAATTTGAGAAAGTGAGGTTATATATACATTATCAAAATCCATGGTACAATGAATATGTTCATTGTATCATGCACAAAAGCGTCCTGATAAACTTTCAAGCAATCGCCACCATGAGCAGGTCAGTCGATTTTGCTTTGACACTTTGTTAACCCTCGGAGCGAATATCTCGGCGATTGCATAACATAATATTTGGACTTCTTTATTCCCCATTCTGTAACCATGACCTTTACGTACTGCTTGCATTATTTCGTCCATTCTTATATTAAAGAGAGGTGAGCTTAACGAGTCACCCAATAAAACTAAGGGTGAAGGTAATGTGAAGTAAAAACTATATGTTCCTGAATACCTTTAATATCAATCGTTTATTCTGCCGCCTTAATTTTGATCATTTCCTAACCTTAAAAAAACTTACCTTGAACAGCTTGGCTCATTTTCACCGTCGTTAACACCGGTATTACTGTTTATCATTGACAATATGGGACAGGTACGCCTACTTGGATAACTACGCGACATATTTTAACCCTTTTTAACAATTTTTAAGTTTTGTCACAACACACGTGTTCAAAAAATTGAAGGTTATGCGTTGGTTTCTTGAACTGAAAAACCCAGTATCCACCATATGCTGTGTTTGTAAGAGCATTTTTAATTGAATGTGTTGTAAAAATAAAATGAAAAGTACAGTATCTGGCATATACTGTCTTTTACACTTCTATATGAGAGAAACTTTGTTTTTCATGTTAATATTAGAAAATTAACGGCAGATACTGTGTTTTACTCATCGAGCAAAAAGACAAAAGAGGGAATCCAATCCTTATAAAAAGGAGACCAAAAAAGTGGCCTCTGATGGCGAACATATCCGGAAATGCGAATGCGCCAAATTTAAAATTTCCGACACTTATTAACAGTGGCTATAAAATTTTTTTCAGAATGTGTCTTAGACGAGAAAGTTTTAATTAAATATTAACGATAAGTCCAAAATGCGACACAATTGTTAAAAAACTTCAATACAAATAAGATTTTATGTGACAGTTGGAACAAACAATAACATAACCAACTAAATTTGACGTCTTAAACAAGGAAAGAGACTCTCTTTCCTTGTTTAATGTGGCCTTTCAAGATGGCATTTCCTGTCTTACAACATTTTTGCTCCCACTACCTTTACATTCCCTCTTTTGTCTTTTTGCTCGATGGTTTTACTTTTCGAAAATCTTCAAAACCAAGTGTTTTACGGGGATTTTAAACCTAAAATAGAATAAACTTATATAACAATAAGTTATACCCATAAAGGGGAAAAAGTCAATTAAGAAGAAATTGTTGGATACCTCGTTTTTGTTTGGGGCAGCCGTACTGTACTACTTCTCATCTCAGAATAACACTTGTTTGTTAAAATTATCTTTTATTTGATTTCTCTCGATAGACTTCTCATTGGTAACAAGAGATCCAAAGTATATGAATATATCTACTTCCTCAAAGGCTAAATGGTGAAGTTGTGATTACTAGGTATTTCTGACTCTGTTGTGGGTATCGCTGCCATTATTTAACTTTTTTGCTGCCATTATTTAACCTAAGACTATTTAAATTGATTTACCATCTAATTATTTTTTCTATTTCTCGTCCTTTTACTCATATTCTTGCCGTCAAGTTCTTAGTTATTTGTTTGATTCATCGTATTAGAATTTATGGAGAAGCTATGAGCTATAGTTATGAAGCTATTAACCTGTGTATTAAAAACGGCGTAGGTAGTTGTGACTAACGATCATACCAATATGGCGGCGGGATCAGGGCCAGACTCAATAATATTAAAACTACTATACAAATATGACTAGTTATTCAGAAGATTTAATCGTAATCTAAAAAATGTGCAATGTATTTTTAATAAACTATGATTTATTCATCGCGTGGTGAACACTGAAAACTTGATATATAATACATAAAGATAAATTAATTCAGTCAAATAACAAGTTATATCTAAAAGAGATAATAATATAAATAATATTTTAAAGGTTAAATGAATATACGGTATGAAATAACAGTACATCATTTTATAAAAGTTTTAAGATTTTTTATGAATACTATTAATTTATTCTCTGAGGTACGGGCCATTACTTTGTTTACATATTTGTATACTTACCTGTAGAACGTTATTCCTTAAGATTTTTTACTAACATTCTGTTACTGTAACCACGTTGAGAAAAACAAACCATTATTATGCACTATCACAATACAGTATGTATAATATGTATGTATGTATGTATGTATGTATGTATGTATGTATGTATGTATGTATGTATGTATGTATAATATTACAGTTTCTATAAAAGTATTATAAAACTAAAAATATTCCAAAAACAACAAACGTAAACAATCATACACGATCTGTCAAAACGATCATACCAATATGGCTGAAGTGAGGTCGTTTTTAGTCACGTGATGCCCTCTCCATAGATTCTAACTCAATGGTTTGATTATATTTTTTTTTATATTTAAAGCAAACTCTGAGAACTTTTTGTTGTTAGTTGTAATGTTTTATGTATTTTAATAGCTTTTTCTATTAATAGCTAAATCGTTGTTTTAAAAAATATTAATATTATAATAACAATACTAATAACAGTTAAAAATATTAATATAATTAGGAATTAAAACAGATATCCAGTCCGGTTCTGGATATTCAATATCATATCAGACATCATTTGACAACACTGTTGCGATTAATGAAGCGAATTTATGCTCATGCTCAAACGAAACGTTTGTTGTTTGTACGGCAAATTTCGCTATCGTAAATCGTAATATTTTATCTATTTGTTAACCTATACTCGTCGTGCTGTCAGTGTCATTTTCCTGCCGGGTTAGAAGTGAAAGGTACTTGTATATTTTCGTTCATGATTTTTTGAATTAAAATCAAAATGGCATTAATTTATACAAATGAAAATAATCCGGCGACTTTAAAACTTATAATAGCCAAAAACGTGGCTAAACGTCCAGTTGATTTGAAAATAGTGACCACTAATGGTAAGTTGGAAAACCCCACGTGGATCTGATGCAATTTTCGTTATGTAGAAAACATTCGATTTTTAAATAATTAAAATATTTTGTGTGTAATTTTAGATAGTTCTATTCCGCAACCTAAGCATTTACCTTATATAGAAATAGAAAATCAACAAACATTATTTTCTGTAAATTCTGCAATATGCTATTTTGTTCCTACAACTAGTGATAACTTCGAAGAAGTTTACAATTTACTAGAGTGGGAAGCTACTGGATTGTCACCACAATTGGCACATTTGCTAGGGGGTTCTTCAAAAAATGAAAAAATTAAAAGTTCTGTACAGTCTGCATTACAATTTTTCAATGAGTATTTGCAGAACAAGAATTTTTTGGTTAAGGTAGGTTAGGGATTGAAAATGACATTGTTCTATTTTTTAAATACAACTTTTTTAGAATAAATTAACTGCTGCAGATATAGCTATCTGGGGCACATTATATCCCCTCAGCATTTGTCCAAAAAATTCAAAGGAATATCTTTCACAGTATGCCAATATTATAAACTGGATTGCATCATTAGGAAGTCAGCCAGACTTCAAGGTATGTAAATTACAATTTTGTTATCAGTTAAAATTTCCAGGAAATTGTAATATATAAAATCCTTTGGAAATTCCCAGAAAACAGGGAGTGGCATGGCAGAATTATATTAAGCCTTTAACAAATATTTAATAATAGATTACTATGTTTATACTATTATTTATTTACTTATTGTTTATTAACATTTAGATAAAATATACATGTTTACAATTTGGATATTAGAGCAAAGTCTCTGTAGTGCCATAACTGCTTCCATGCGAAGTATATTTTGGAATTTTTATTTTGAAATTGAAATACATTGAAATAATTTATTGGTATTGTATCATGAAAATTAAAAAGTTCAAATTCTTAGGAATATATTATACCTATATATCCATCCAAGTCATCCAGTGGCGCATCCAGAGTTTTCCTGTGGGGAGGGGGGTTTGTTCAGGCACTAAATTTTTTTATGCTACCTCCATTTTGAGTCCTTAAAAAATTTGTGAGTAATAGTGTCGGAATAGTGCCCTGGGGGAGGTGTGGTTAATCCCCAAAACACCCAGCCCCTGAGTGCGCCACTGGACTAATAAAATCTGTACTATGTGGAAAAGGGAAATATTTTAGAGATGACCATTGCAGGTGCCAGTAATTAGGGATCCAGAGGATATGTTGGGAATTATTTTTATTCAAAAAAATAATTGAATAGGTCATTTTGTAAAGGGACCACTTTAAATTTCACAGAAAAGGTAAAAAACTTCTTATCTTCATTACTATTAAGAACTTAAGTGTTTTTATGTATTTTTGGTTTTATGATTAACTATACAAACTGAGGAATATTATAAAAAGATATTTTTTAATTTTAATAGACCTAGAAACCAAATTTTTTTTTAAGAGATGAGCCTTTTTCAAAATGAACAGGTAATAAAAGTAAAAATAGTCAATATAATATTAATATTGTTTGTTAGAAACATTAAGCTGCTACACTAAATTTAGAAGAAAAAAAAAACAAAAAGATTTAAAATAAATAAGGATAGTTTAATTGTCTTCTTGTTCTGCTTCTTTAGCACTGGTAGTAGACCATTCACAGATCATGTTGTTGAATGGATTGTGATTATCTGGAATGCATTGTAAAAGCCTTAAATTTTTTTTGTTTATTGTAATTTTCCCCTGATAAGCAGGAACATTTTGAGGATCAGATACAAACATTGGTGAATTGTCCTTTTTTTGAGGTTTTAAAAGTTGAAAATGAACTTCAAGAATGCCATCAATGTATGGTTTAGCTAATGCAATACCCAAATTATCTGAGGAAAAGCAAAATTCATAATAACAGTTAATACTGAAAGTACCTTTTCGTTTTTTGGAACTTCTTTACCAAAACTTCCTGTGGAACTTTTTTTTTTTAAATCTGGCCACCATTTTTTAAAAGCATCTACATTGTAAAGAATATTGATATAAGGGGTAGAAAATTGGGGACAGAAATTATGAGGATGGAAATAGGGCAAGCAAAATAAATTGAAACATGCGAATGGTACTCAGGGTTTGTTATGAGAGCTGGGGTCATGGATAAGTAAATTGCAAACAGTTACACAAATACAGATAGCACAAAAAATACTATAATAGTTCTTACAGAGATTCTTACCAAAATAATAAAGAAAATTTACATGTGTTCTATTGATTTATAAACTCAGGAGATGCTACAAAAACTTACAAATGTTACTGAGGTATAAACTGTGGCAAATATAAAAATTATTACAAATAAAAATTATCTTTTTAAACAATGAAAGCATTTATTATTTAACAAAAAGTCTATCTTGATTTTAAAATTTAGACACAGAAAAATTACCTGAACCTCACTAAACTCCCGTCTGCATGTCTGGGGTCGGGAACTGGAATCTTGCTGAAATTATACTGGGGGTAGATCCGGGATGACGACCAGGGATAAGAAGATGAGGTCGGAAGCCAGCACCGGCTTGAACACAAACCTTGAATACTCGTCTCCTTCAAAGACTGGAACAGGCACAGCACAATGGCGACATGAGGCCATCTTCAAAAAGCCAGAAGATATCGAATAACAGTATTATTGAGATTCGGACCTGGACATCCGCCACAAAAGAGATGCAGCTCTTCAAAGTTTTCTGGAATTTTGTTGTTTATAGTCATTTAAAAAAAAAAACTTCATCAGGGCCTCTGTGTCCTTCGCCTTTGTGGTAAGAATAAAAGGTTGTGTATTTTGATTCCTCACCCCTTTGTCCGTTTTAAAGGAGGAGATTTACTTGCTCTACCCTTGCATACCCTTTTTCATAATGACCAATTCAATTATTGTCAGATCTCATTCCTTGCCGTTGAAATTATTGTAGGGTTGGTGGTGTAATTTAATAAATCATTATGTAGCAATATACTCAAGTAAATTTTTCAGTATTATTATATTGAATCACTTTCGTCATATATGATAATTATTAGGAAATCATAAAAAATTCATCTTCTAAATTGAATTGCTTGTAAGCACACTTAATAATGCCTTATAGTCTAAATTTATGTATCTTTCTTATGTACCTAGTTTTTGATTATGTTGTACCTGTGTGTACTGTTATTTCTTAATGATATTTAATTCTATCTCGTCATCTATCAGTATTTCCACCACCAGAGAAAAATCCTAGTACCTTTTGCTCTATTACATATATAGGCAAGATATCAACAAAAATAGCTACACACAAAATAGAAAGGAATAACACCAGTTTTCAGAACAAACAACAATGTAGCCAAATGTATTAAAAACAACAAGAGCCAAAAAAAATAACTACACAGTGGTATATGCAAACATAAATGTGGTGTCTACCCAAAAACTTACATCAGTCAAACTGGCAGAACTTTTAACAAACTTATAGCAGAACATAAAAGGGCTTTCAATAATAGAAAAACAGATTATATGTATGCACTTCACCTTTTAGACCATAATCATTCTTTGAATGATGAATTTCAAATTCTTCACATCCAAAATTCCAAAATAGAGGCCCTAAGTCGTCTTTGTTAGAATCTATGGAAATTAACAAATTAAAAAATACAGACAATTCTGAGTGATCAACTTGAGATAAACAGTTCCCCCATCCTCAATCTATTCAGTTAAAGACTATAAAGTGTAAACACATACCGAAAATAGATCACTTGAGAGAGGAACTCTGCTGTAGCGATAAGATATTATAATAAATTTGGTGGAAGTTGTGAAAACAACAGTTTTCTGTGTTTTATTATTATATAAAATGAATTTCCATCAAGTAACTGTTGAATCCATCACTTAATGTAAATGTTTTCTTCAACACTGCATAATAATCTGTTTAATCCACGAGTTAAAAAAAAAACTATTGAATTCTTCAGAAAAGTAAATAAAATTCAATTATTATCATTCTTAACAAAGCTCTTGTTCTGCTCCCTGTACATGATAAAAAAACTCTTTGTCAGAACAATTTTTGCATTTGTATTTAAGGATCAGTGCCTTCCAGCTAGTCTAGCTTCCTGAGTACTCTACATTGTTGCAATAAATATTAAATTTTTAAGAATACATTTTTAAATATGGCAGCATTTTATTTGTGTTTTTCAATAATAGAATACAAAGGTATAAGAAAGAAAATAAGGATGAAAATAAAAACAAATCAAACAAAACTAGTTGAAGAAGAAATGTAAAGGTATAGAAGAATTAGAAAATATGACATGATTCTTTTAATATGTATAAAAAGGTAAAGGAATTTTCATATGTAGGGTCTTAAGAATTTTCGACAGTTGGTAGTGGCTGTGTTTTTGAAGCTACATCTGTTAAATTGGCTGTCACTTATGCAGTCTTCATTATTCATAGTGGTGTGTTGAATAAATTTGAATCCCTGGTTTAATAAATAATCAACCAACCTTGCGTATATTCAAAATACCAATTTATTATGTTTGTTTATCAGCTATGTAAATGGTGGCATGTGTCAGTCACAATCCTGCCCCTTTGGGCATTTCTGCTTTTGGTACTTCTATACCTAGCAGCAGTTGTCCTGTCTGAATCCTGAATTTCTGTCCTTCAATGTATGGGACTATCAGTTTTAACCTGTCCTATATATTTATAAGAAGTTCTATATCAGTGGTTGGGTTGCGTCATGTCAGAGGTTTCAGTTTGTCTTGTGCGGAACGCTGAAGAATCGCTGCCTATACTGAGTTCAGAGCTCCTTGTCTATAAAATCATATCAGCACCAATGATTTAATTTTTATTTAGAAGATTGGCTTGGAAAGTAAAATAAACTAAATAAAGCTTAGATAAAATTATGGTATTTCCCAATAAAATTGTAAATTCAGCAAATATTGGTAAAGGAGATAAATAGAATTATTGAGTTATTCTTAAATATTGATTTCATAACAATTTTTCTTGATATTGAGTCATATTTTTTATTAGCAGATTATCATATGCAATGGGTTTTTCCATAAACAACCTATAAAATATGCAAGCTATAAATATTATCTACCAATCAATTGTTTATATTTGGTTAAGATATATTTTTATAAAAAAAATGTGTCAGCGTAATAATAATAGAGTAATTTTAAGTAAACATACCATCCACAGGAAGCAATATTAAGTAAATATACCATCATCATAAAGTAATATTAAAAATTTATAATAAATTAAATTGAATATAACATATACAGTACAATTCCTCATATAGGTATTTTAAATAAAAAATCCAATTTTAAAATCTTTTATTCAAGTTGCGTTATTACCTACCTACAAAGCAATTTATTTAAAAATATATAAAAAGTAAAATATTCGAATTTATAAAATATTTAAACTTTAGTAACATTCAAATTGAAATTAACACAAGATCACCATCAAAATCAGCATTATTATTTTCACACTCACATGAATCGTCATATTCAGCCGATATTTCATATGTTTTCGTACCACTGCAAAGTACCATTCTCCCTCCAATTAATTCCAAAATGTTTTTCAAGCAATTTTGCTACGTTCTTAACCTTTTTTGCTTTTAGAGTCACATCAATACAAATTTCTTTTGGGTTGATCTGTCCAATAGTATAGTTCAGTTGGTCTTACAAATTTTCCTCTCTGTACCAGTGTCAAAGGCATCTCTCCTTTCACAACAATGTTTCCCGATTTAGTTTTCCGAGGAACTATTCGTCGGTAGGTGGAAATTTTGAAATGAGTTGAGCAGCTGTTTTCATAAAACTTTTCGCTTCTTAATTACTATTTATAACTGGGAATAAGCCACAATTAAAGATAAAAAATACGTTTATTGACGTTTCAATTTCCAATTCGGAAATCGTTCTCAAAATACAAACAGTAAATTCAATTTACTGTTTGTATTTTGAGAACGATTTCCGAATTGGAAATTGAAACGTCAATAAACGTATTTTTTATCTTTAATTGTGGCTTATTCCCAGTTATAAATAGTAATTAATTTACAATGCCACAAGAAAATAGCTTCAGAACAATATTTTCGCTTCTTGTTTCCAGCTCAATGGTACCCAATCCTTTTCATTCAACTTAATCGTACCATATTCTTAAAAAATTCATGATATTCTCCTTTTGTCACAATTGTGTTGATTTTATTTAATGTTTTCTCTATCATCCCAAATACTCTGTCGGCAGGAAGGAATGTGTGCCCTGTTACAGGAAAGACTGTTTCAATTTTTCGTATGCTTGTTGGAGCACAGCTATCCAGAAACTTGCAGCACATAGTTAAAATATTTATATTCTTATTTTGTCCAGCGCAACCATCAGACACCAAACAAATGGAGTCATATCCTGAGAAATCAGCTAATCTCAACTCATATTGAATACAATGGAAGCAACCTCGTTGGATGATTTTTTTGCTTCGTCTTCAGTCCAGGTATAAATTGAGGCAGTACTGGGATACATTTGACAATCCTTTAACTACTGAAAGGTTATAACAGTAAAACTGTCGTGAATAGTATGCACAATTTTTCTATCAGGTGTTTGAAGAAGGCTTGAGCCTGTTTCTTGTGTAATTCCATTTTCATTTTTAGACACCTTTTTTTGTTCCTCGGGTTTTTTCCACTTGGATAAGGTTTTGTAATTCTAGGCAAGTACTACCTACATTCATCCATGGTAGGGTAAGAGAATCCAATGTTGAAATCTGAGCAAAATATTTTCCTGAAAAATCTATGATGATGATAACAAGAAAAAGTGACACTCTTACCAAGCAGAATTTTTCATTTCAATCTGGATCCGATAACTTTGGGATATTTAAATTTCTAAATTAATCATTTAATTCTTCTTGAGTGAAAATTTAGGTGAGCGATCTTCATCAGGTTCATATGCCTCATCACATACATTGTTCTCACTATCACTACTTTCACAGTCACAGTAACGACTAACATATATTAGAACAGTAGGAGTGGGAGAAACAATTATAGTGTCGCTATGAGCTACTGGTCTAATAGCAGAAGGTAAGTTAGGTTAAAAGATTTCTTGTTCTTAACTGAGTAGCCACGTAATATCAGTTAGGCAAAAGTAACAATCATCCACATGGTTTGATGGTTCTGTCTAGGCCATCGACATTCCCAAGGACATAGCTTCCTTTTTACCTGTAACCACAGTCACAATGCCTTGACACAAGTTTGACAAACAGTATGGGGACCCATGCCTTGTCTTGATCGCCAAGTTTTACACCGAAATATGAAAAGTAGACAATTTCTACAAATTTGGTAATATTTTGTCTCAATTTTACAACTAAAAAAAAACTCATAAGTATAACAAAACACATTAGGGTTTTTTAATGTTCATGTTTTCGAATTATTTACTACATTTAGTGTATTATTCAAGCATACTAAGTATATTTATTTTCTTTTAGGCTGCAGTGGATACTTACAAACTAGACCCCTCCTCAGCCTACAATGCTTTGCTTGTTGGTGCTAAATATCTTTCAATATCCGACGAAGTCGAAAAACAAAGGAAATACCTTCTCCGCATCAAGAAAAAGAAGCGGCAGTGGAAGCTGTTACCCCAGAGGAACTGGAAAAATGCAAAAAGTCGTGGAAAAAAAGTATTAAGGATTTACCAAAGTTGAAAAGTAGTAAGGGGCCAATGTAAGTTGTTTTCGTAGTAAGATGATTTTATTGTTCCTCGATTGTATCGTTAAGTCAGAATTGCTATCCATTTCTAGCTATTCAATAACTCTTGGACTGATCTTTCGATTTCTTTGCTGATGACTATTGCTACTTCATTGCGGTGTTGTGTGTTGTTATCTCCGGAATAGTGAAACATGTAGTTGTCTATGACACTTCTGTCGCTGTTAGGCCATCGGACTTCACTACATCCAAGGATATCTATCTTTAAGCGTCTCATTTCTTGTGTTAGATTATGGGCTTTTCCTTGTTGGTACAAACTCCGCACGTTCCAAGTGCCTATTTTTTTCAGTGTATTTAGTTGGATGGCTGGTCTTCTAGATGTTTTTCTCAATAAATCACTGAGATTTCGCTTGTTGACGATCTGAGAGGCCCTGTGATCTTTTATCTCGGCTGGAGGATCTCGGCTTCCGATTTCCGTGCTCAGTAATGTCTACTAGTTTTGTTACCATTGCGATCATTGCCACCATGATTATTCTAGGGATATCCTTAAGGATCTTTTATGTGATAGTCATCCCGTGGCTTTCTACATCCTTATGCCGTTGGTTACTTATTTGTAACTCCTCCGCCTTAGGGGTCCTAACTCAAGGACAAGGGAGTGCCCTGCCGCTTACTTACTCATCCGCCCGAAGCCGTTGGTCAATAAGTGGATGATTGCTTATGCCGGAAATCATTCGGTTCATCTGTAACCCTAGATAAGGGTTGCTATCAGGCGGGCCAGCTGAACCCGGTTTTTATAGGGGTGTTACTCCTCTCCCCTCCTCTTTTATCCGGGCTTGGGACCGGCTGCGTCAAGTGTAGAGCTGCTCAGTTCACCCCACACCTATCACAGGCAGAGTTAGTGTTTAATACTTATTCACAATTGAGTCTTGTGACCGTCCCGTTTCTTTTTTGAAAACTGCTTTTTGATGAAAAATACATAATAAAATTTATTTCATTTCAGAACGCCAGTACCTGGAGAGAAGAACGTTCTGATCACCTCGGCTTTACCCTACGTTAATAACGTGCCCCATTTGGGCAACATTATCGGCTGTGTATTATCTGCAGATGTCTTTGCTCGTTTTTCAAGATTGTGCAATAACAATACTGTCTATATTTGTGGGACTGACGAATATGGAACAGCTACAGAAACGAAAGCTCTCGAAGAAGGCTTGAGCTGTCGAGAAATTTGTGATAAGTACCATAAAATCCATAAGGAAATTTATGAATGGTTTAATATTAGTTTTGACTATTTTGGAAGAACGTCTGAACCACAGCAAACACAGTGAGTATATATTTGGGTTTAAATTATATTTAGAAGCAAAATTTATTTCATTGAAGTAATAATTATTTTTATTATAATTTAATAATCAATAAATGCATATACATCTTTAGGTGTTATATCCAATATGCCAAAAATCTAAAGCAACTTTTTTTATAATTTTTTTGAACACGAAATTTTTTAGGTCTTGCAGAACCAGAATGTCTGCATTCCATCGATTGCTACCTTCTTTTTGGGTCATAGAAATGTACCCCAGAGTCATTCATAGTAAAAAGATGGCTTAAAAAGTCAAACAGAGATAAAATTCGATGCTTCTATCTCTACCCTTGAAGTATAATAAGCATTCTCTCGACTTACAATGTTTTCATTGAAATTTTAATCATTTTATTCCCTTTTTAAATGCAAAAAACAATAAATATTAAGCCAAATAATTAAGGAAAAACAATAGCAAATAGGAAATAAAAGAGTACAAAAATGTAATAAACTTACCCATTTTCCAAATAAATTGAGTTCTTTGCACAATTCAAAATATTATTTTTATCGGCACGTTTCACTCGAGATATGATGTCACTGGCGAATATACAATTCAAGATTGACAACATTTTCATTTTTCGCTAGGTGGCAGCAGGAGCTTATTTCTCTCTCTCTCCCTCTCTCAATTGTAATGTGTGAGCCTGTTGCACACAATACATCGGTATAAAAATCTCAATATCGAAAAATATCGACTTATGACTTTTTCATTCTAGGCCATCGATATAAATTAAATCTTTTCTGATGGTTTAAGAATTCACCAATCAGCAATAAACCATTTGTAGATCTAGTAGACTATTCGGTATGTATGAATTTCAGGATTGTCCAAGACATGTTCTTTACCCTCAACAACAACGGTTTCATGTTCACACAATCAGTGGAACAACTCCACTGTCAACAATGCAACAAATTCTTGGCTGATCGATTCGTGGAAGGTGGTTGTCCGAATGTTGGTTGTAATTATGAGGATGCTAGAGGTGACCAATGTGATGGTTGTGGAAAACTAGTCAATGCCGTGGAATTGAAAAATCCCCGGTGTAAAATATGTAACAACACCCCTGTTTTGAAGTGCTCTGATCAATTCTACATTGATTTACCCAAGGTAAGTTGACAAAATTTATGTTAAAACGTTGGTTTGTTAAAAATTCAATTAATATACAGCTACAGCTTTTGAAAATAGGTAGAACAAACTGTAGAAAACCTGTAGAAACAACTGTATTGGCCATTAATCATCAATCTTGTTTGTAGTAATGGCGTATGTAAAACTTGCTGCTTATCAGATCAACATCGGAAAAAGAAAGTTAGTCAAGAACGAGCAGTTAGATAAAAGCGTTGTATAATAGATTTGGTTTATTGTTTAGCAAAAGGTGGTCGTTTGTTTTGACGTTTAATTCGCTAAGAATTTTATTTGGTTTAGAATTTCTAATTGTTTAGAATTATTTTTAATTTAAGCAGTAGTGTTGGAATTAATTTTTATTTTATTTCATTTTTTTTAGTGCTAATTCCAATTTCACAGCTACTACTCCCAAAAAATTGTTTCAAAGATAGTTGGAATATATCTATACATATATCTATATATCTATATAAACTAGAAAATTAAAAAAAAAACGAAACTAATTCATAATACGAAAATTATTGTCTGTTGATGAAAAGCTCACTTTATTTTTAATGTATTTTTAGCTGGAACCTTTGCTGTATCATTGGATAAAATTGAGAAATTCTGGCTGGTCGCACAACTCGCAAGTAATAGCCAAAGCCTGGTTAAAAGAAGGTCTTAAACCACGATGTATTACCCGAGATCTAAAATGGGGCGTTCCCGTACCTCTCGACGGTTTTCGAGAAAAAGTATTCTACGTTTGGTTCGATGCACCTTTAGGGTACATTTCGATCACTAAAGCTTACACGGAAGATTATAAAAAATGGTGGACACCGGCAAAAGGAGAAGAAGTCACCTTGTATCAGTTTATGGCCAAAGATAACGTACCTTTCCATTCCGTTTTGTTTCCTGCTATGCTCTTGGGTGCCAACAAGGGTTATGTTACTGTTAATCATCTAATGGCTACAGGTAAATCTTTATGAATATTTACAGTTATAGTTAATTAAGAAATCTGTATAAATCGTATCTTGAAGCAATTTTACTCTTTTATCTATCTTCTGGGTATAGTTAGACGGAATCACAACATATAAAAAGAATAAAAAGACATCTGAACTATTTTTACGCAGTGTCCACCCATGTTATATGATTTTATACATTATGGCGTACGACTCATTTGATTCAATACTTATGAAAATGTTTGTAATAAAAAACAGGTCTGAAATATCTCTAGAAACAGGATGAATTAGATTAGCCATAGCACGTGTTGACACCTACAATCACCATTTGAGTTTGGCCAAATGTTGACAGCTGACAGCCGACAGTTCCACGCCGCAATCATCAAAGGATGCCGACAAAAGACCAGCAGAGTACTTATGGACCGGTTGTTTGTGGGAAAAGTTTATTGACTGTGGGAACAAGCGTAATCCTTGGTTGTTTTGTCATTAGATAAAACAGGTGTCATCTTTGTCTGTATCAACTCTTATTTCTGTCAAATATCTAAAACGTCGGTTCTTCGTCGCCTTCTTTTAAGTCTCACAAATCTCATTTTTTTTTCTTCGCCTGTCAAATATTATGTCTGTCAAAATATAAGGGAACAGAAATACAACCTTCTACTATAATAATGAAGGAAAAAATGGGATTCTGGAAAAAATGCTCCTAGCTAAACAATCTAAGAGATTAAATATCTTAAGATCCTCAGAAGTCATGTAGACCAGGTCAATGAAATAATAAACCTACCAAATTTTTGCAGTAGGATGTGGATCTCAATTAAACTGTTTGCATTCGATTCGTATGAGTGTCATGACATTTTGTGAACAAAAATGATGAAAAATGATAAATTTGTAAATCGGAAAAGTATAGATAAAGTAATTGACGGAAATGAGTACAATATTACTACTCGGAGGTTTTTCGGGTCACTGAACATAAATATCGTGACGGCGCTGTTCTCCGAGGCAACTGGTGCACCTGGGCTCATCTCCTTTTTTTGGAAATTCGATACAAAATCAGTGCAAAAACATTACTCAAGGTTTTTGGTGTCGCTGAACACTCATGTCAGCGATGGTATGCGAGGCATTTGTGGTTTTTGGGGTCGCTGAAAAGCAAGTTTTCCATCACTTCGAAATGCACTGTGAAAAATGTATTTTCCTTGTTCAATAATGACATTTCGTAATGAACGTAACTTTTCGTAATTTTTATAATGAACATCAGTATTAATGATCACAACTTCGAAGTAGTAAAGGAGTTTAAATACCTGGGGCGATAATCACAGCTGACAACCACATAAAAAAGAGGTCTCAGCAAGGATAGCTGCGGGAAATAGAGCATTATAGTCCCTTTCAACATTATTAAGATCGAAGCTGCTAAAAAGAAAATCTAAATTAACATTGTAGAAGTCGATTATTCGCCCAATTATTAACCCGCTCAACCTGCGGGAAATAAATAAGCTTCTAGTATTTGAAAGAAAGGTTCTCAGAATAATATTTGGCCCTCAAAGAGATGAATTCACAGGGGATTAGAGAAGGCGCCGCTGTATTGACTCTGTATGGAACTGAAAACATAGACATATCAAGCAAACCGAATGAGATGGGCATGTATCACGTGATAGGATCAGATAATGACAGAGTATTAAGCACAGTGTTTTTGAAAGACCAGATGGTAGAAGATCAGTAGGCCAACCGAGAAAAAGATGGAAGGATAATGTTGAAGCCGATTTATCTAGAATTGGGGTACAACAATGGGAAATAGAAGCGTAAGATCGTGGATCGTGGGTAAGGATCTAGGGCCATAGTGGATGCGGCGAAGACTCACCCCAAGTTGTAAAGCCAGTGAAGAAGAAGAAGAAGAAGAATGCAATTTTCATTTCCACATGATCATTTTTGTTCACAAAATTTCCTGACACTCATACGGATCGAATCAAAAAGTTTGAGATTGAGATCCATCCTACTGCAAAAATTTGGTAGGTTTTGGGCTTTTACTGCTTCATTGCCTCACCTAATAGATCAATTTGCTCAAATGATCAATTAATTATGATTAATGATGAACTAAACAGTAATGAAGATTGCACATGAAGAAGAAAAAGTTTTAAATGCTGTATAAAACCTTTTTACCAGCTTCTAATCGCTGTATTATTGTGAATTATCAATAAAATTACCAGAAATAATATGATACATATTCTTCCTAATACAAATTTTCTTTTTTAGAATACTTAAATTATGAAGATGGTAAATTTTCGAAATCTAGAGGTGTGGGAGTATTTGGAACAGACGCTCAAAGTACAGGAATTCCAAGTGACGTATGGAGATTTTATTTACTCTACGTCAGACCGGAATCTCAAGATTCCAGTTTTAGTTGGACCGATCTGGTTACTAAGAATAATTCCGAATTGTTAAATAATTTAGGAAACTTCATTAACAGGTACCTCTTTTAGGTTAGGTGATATTAATATTGGAGTTTTGGCTGAAAGATTTAATATAATATTAATAATAATTCTCTAAAAACATTTAATGAGAAGAATTAATGATTAGTGTTAGAATTAATGAGAGATGAAGAGCTTAGATCTACATACAGTAAGCACATCAACGAGAACTTGAGAAACATACAAGGAAATTGCATAACGGAAATCTGTGAGAAAATAAAAATAGCTATAGTTGAGGCTGAAGAAGTAGTCGCAAGTAAAATAAAAAGAAATCACAAAAACGAGTGGGACGGAAGAGATACTTGATCTAATGGAGCAACGCAGACAGTACAAAATACATCATAATCAACAGGAATACAATTAAATCCAACGTACGATAAGAACAAGAATTAAAAACGCAAAGAAAAGCTGGATGAAAGAACGTTGTGAAGAATTGGAATCACTACAAGAAAAGGGAGACGGCTTGTGACTACATAAAAAGGTCAAAGAAATTTCGAGTATATACAAGAAACATCATGAGACTCACCTGAAGAATAATCAAGGAAACTACGTTCATACCCAGGAAGAACTAGCTAAAATCTGGGCAAACTATGCTTGGCTATTGTATGGCGCTTTTGAATGGCGATAATTCAACTAAATAGTCACAGAAATATGATACTTTACAGCGTTTTATGTGTTCTGTTCAACTTAATTTCCAAGTAATAAAAGAGAAGTCAGACTTAAACAGAAGTTATAACTTAAACAGAACTTAGTCAGAAGTCATAACTTAAAAACAGACTAAATGTGCTAGCCAGTTTAACAAGGAGATTTTACTGAATAGAAGAAAATAATATCTTTTAAAGCAAAGAAGTAGTTAGAATATAAAATTAAATAAGATCATATTATAGTACAGTAATAAAAGTAAAAAAATGTAAAATATGAAAATAAATATAAAATACTCTCCCAAACAACTTTTAATGCGTTGAAATAACACAGATAGATATTGCACATAATTTTAAACATGTTATAATATACGCTCATAGTTTTATATAGTTATGCCTATATTCTATTAACGAATGTTATTATTTTAGGGCGTTAGTGTTTGCCAAAAACAACTACAAAGGAATGGTACCTGAAATAAATCCCACCGAAGAAGACTTCCATCTGTTGGCCTTATGTACCAGAGAACTGAAAGGTTACGTAGAATCTTTGGAAAAGTCTAAATTGCGTGATGGAATTAGGCATATTCTATCGATATCCAGACTTGGTAATCAATACATGCAATCGAATCAACCGTGGGTGTTACTGAAAGGTTCCGACGATGAAAAGTAAGTTCAATTTCATACAATTGTCATATTTACATAAGTAAATACGGTCAAATTCATATCGAGTGTGCGGAATATTCTAATAGATCAGAGCTTTGGCCACTCGATTTGACATTGATCAAATTTGCTTAGATTTTATATTTTTCTGCTAAAAAAGTCTTAAAGTAATGCCACATCGGCATAGTAATGGCCATTGTGATATCAGTATCATGAATTTGAAGTTTTTATGTTTGTTTCAAAATTAAACTAATAATATTATAACGTTTGTTTTCAGATTGCGTGCTGGAACCGTGATTGGCATCTGTTGTAATTTGTCATGTTTGATAGCCACGCTGTTACAACCATATATGCCTGAAACCAGTGAGAATTTGAAGAAGCAATTGAATACATCTAACATTGTTTTGATTCCTAGGTGAGTATATTTTATAGAAGACACTAAATTTAATCTGTTTAAAGAGTCCTTGACTGCCCCCCTTGCCGTTTCCATTTTAATTCGTTTCTTGCTATATGGTGCCATAATCTTCCTGTCTTTTCTTTCACATCTTCCAGGCGTCTTTTTGAAGATACGCTGTTAAATGCTGAGCACATATCAGAATCGCAAAGATCTCGGCCTGAAAGATTGATCAAATCCGATATCACTACCATATATTCCAGCGCCTACCCGCTCGTCTTTTCTGGACCCACCTGTGAACCATGTGAGCGTACTCCGACGGATTACTTCTCGTTCCATCCACTCATCCCGGTCAGGAATTTCCTGAGAGGAAGGTTTTGGTTTTTGGTTCCATATCATTTTAAACTTCCACAAGTAGCTAGGGATATAATAGGGTCACTTGGCCAGAGTCTGCGTGACCGGGTAAGGCTGCTTTCAAGGGAGAGTCTCCTGGTGCCCCCAGGTAAACGCTACGGCCGCTACTGCTCCAGCGTTACATCCACGGCGCTTTACCTTCACTTGGAATTAAAGGAGGTGGTCCACGACGAACTCTGGTAGGGGGTTAAGAGACTCTCCCCTCCTGATGCCCCTATAACCAGAGACTGTCACCAACTATTCTCCTATCTTCCGTCTGGAGACTTGCCCGGTAGGTGCCTCAACCAAAGGGAATCTTTTTGTTAGTATTTAAGTAATTGTCGGTGAAGTAATAGCAGATATTGTTAATATTCTCTATCTAATAGTTGATATTTTTTATTTTTAGCAATCCAGAAATAGTTACCATGCTTCCAGCAGGTCACAAATTAGGAGAACCTTCTCCGTTGTTTGCCAAAATTGAACCAAGCGTTGCAGAAGAGTTGAAGAAAAAATTCGCAGGCAAACAACAATCTAAAGAAAGCAGTCCGAGCGGAGATTTAAAAAGCGCCGGAGATCTAGAAGCAGCAGTAGCTAGTCAGGTATGGTATTCTTTAATAAATAAATTATAATCCCAAGGAAAACATCCCAAGACAAAATAAAAATTGTAGCAACAAAAACAATAGCTTAGAAATGGCTCTTGGAAACACGGTATACGATGTCTGGCTATTAAATAACGAGACTGCGCGCGCAGAAGGCGTCCTAGAGAGGAAGAGTGGGAAACGAATACAGCATTGGATAGCTGGAAGTGTTTACTCTTCCAGTACGAAAACACGTTTTTGTTGCTGTAGCAGTATTTTTTCTGTAGAGGTTAGAATAAAACGTGTTTTTTTCTCGTTCCGATAACAATGTGTGTGACGAAAAACATGAGCAACGGATTAATGGGAAATTTCTCGTTAATTTAAAAAAACTCCGACTGAGTGCTATAATTTGTTGAAAGAGGCCTATGGTGAGAATTCTCCATCTCGTGCGCGTGTTTTCGAATGGTATAAACGGTTTTCTGAAGGCCGAGAGAGCGCCGAAGATGACCAACGTCCAGGTCGACCTGTCTCTGTTTTAACTCCGCAAACAGTGACCAAAATAAATGAAATTGTGCGCGGGGATCGTCGTATGAGCATTCGAATGATTGAAGGTGGTTCCAAAAATTTGACCCTTGACCAAAAGCTCGTCCGTCAACAGATCTGGTCAGATTTTCTGGAAGAGGTTACATTAAGAGCCTTGCGATGAAACTTGGATATTCAAATACGATGTTGAAACTAAGCGACAATTCATGCACTGGAAAACTCCTGCATCGCCAAGAATGAAAAAAGCAAAGATTTTGAAATCAAAATTTAAAGCCATGCTAATCGCTTTTTTTTCGACATTAACGGCATCGTGATGACTGAATGGGTTCCAGGGGGTCAAACTGTAAACCAAACTTACTATTTGAAAGTTTTGACAACGCTGCGAGAGCGAGTTCGTAAGAAACGGCCGGAGTTGTGGAAAAACAAGCCGTGGATCTTGCACCAGGACAACTCACCTGCCCATAATGCGCTGTCTGTGAAGCGTTATTTAGTCGCTAAAGGCATTCCAGAGCTCGAACACCCGCCGTACTCACCTGATTTAGCACCCTGTGACTTTTCCTGTTTTCTACCTTAAAAGGAATCCGGTTCGAGGCGATGGAAAAGGTGAAGTGAAAAACGGCAGAGCTCCTAAAAGCTCTAAAAAAAAAAGAAGCCTTCCAGCATTACTTTGACCAATGGAACAAACGAATGGAACAATGTGTGGCGAGGTAAAGGGAATATATTGAAGGAGAGCATTCGATTGTAGAATAATTTTTAAATAAAACTCATTTTCATAAGCAGTCTCGTTATTTAATAGCCAGACTTCGTACAAAATCCAACTAACCGTCCATCCAACAAAATTTATTATTTGGACGAATTAAAAGAGTCTTAATGCCAATTAAAATAAAAATTTAGTTTAAAGTCTAGCCAGCATTGTTTTGTGTTTGACAAGTAGAGTACTATTTTACTACGCTTATAGCGGTGTGATTGACAAAAATCAATAAAACTTATTTAAACAGCGCAATGCATTGAAATAGTACTGATTTTCTGGCGGAGTTAATCGCGATGGAACCGCCGAGAGGTTGAGTATGCTTACTGTGAACTGAAGCTGGTGAAGACTTGAAAACTATTTCCTCTGACCCTTATTGCTGCCTACAGTATGCTTCTACAGTTATCTAACAAAGAGCAAGGGAAGTCTTGAATATTAAAACTACAAATAAAAGTGAGAAAATATCTTTTTTTTTGCAAAAAATTTTTTACGTAAGCCGTGAAAAACAGTAAATCTTTTTTGCTAATAAAAAAAATAGAATAACTGTTTAATATTAACTTTTTTAATATTTTATGGTATATTATGTGGACTAAAAGACTGGTTGAAAAACACATGTTTACCAAAAAAACATACGAAGAACAGAAGCCAAGTAAGTTTTTTGTTTTTAATCATCTCGTCTCTTTTGTTTACAAATATTAAGAGTTGAAATTTTCGCAGATTCTCAATTAGTACCTATATTTTATGATGCAAATTGGGGGAAGAAACATGGAGTCCGCCAAATTTTGAGATTAGAACTTCAAATTGGAGCGCGCTGAAAAATTTGCAATATCTCCGGTTCTTGAAAATGTACAACCTTCATTCTTTTTTTAAGCTCTGGTAACTCGACAAAATATTAACAACTGCATAATTTTTATTTCCTTGGCGATAATGAAATATAATCACTGACAAATATTCTACATAAGAATGTAGATTTTATAGACGTATACTTAAATGTGATAATAATTACTTCTTTTCTGATGGAGTTGGTCAATCACAAGCCGGTGACAGGTTAAGTATAGGTACTGTGAACCGAAGGTGGTGAAGGCTTGAAAACTATTTCTACTGACTCTTATTAGGGACGTTAGGCAAGAAAAATCTCTTACATAGGAGCCTAAATCAATATTCCTTGAAAAGGTAGAGAAATTTCAACAGAAAATTCAGTACCTTTTGACTTGCGCTACAAAATTGATATTGAATGATATTTTTATTGAACGAATTAAATTTTTTTAAGTAAATTTAAAAGAAAAACAAACTTTACATGTTCATATAACAAACATAACTAATTTTAATGTTAAGATTTTTTAGTACACAGTTAAAATCATTAAAGTATTTTAAAAATATATATTTGATTATAGGGTGATAAGGTGAGGCAACTGAAATCAAGCGGTGCTGATAAATCAGTCTGGCAACCCGAGGTAAAAATCTTGTTGGATTTAAAAAAACAGTTGGAAGCATTAAAAATTAATTCTGCTCCTAATTCCGCACCTACTAAAACTGACGTTGTAGATTCTAATGCAGCACAGAAGATTGAAGAAGAAGTGGCCAAGCAGGTAAGTCATAAACTTTAGAATTCGAAGCATTATAGATACCTAATTATATTTATACGTTATAACAGGTAATGAAGAAATCTCTTATCATTGTTAGTAATTTATAATTTTTGAGGATTTTATTGTAAAAATGGGGTTATTTATAGATTATATCGATTACAGCTCTTCCAAGTTTCTTTTGTTTTTTAACTCGTGTTATTCATATATTTTTCTTCTACATACAATATATTTTTTAAGTATTTCACATCTTTTATATATATTTTTTTTATCGCTATGATCATATTATTTGCTATTACGTGCTGCAATCTACGAGACGTGGTTATTTAATAACGTTAATAACTCTTGTTACAAGGGAAGTACGTGTGAGCCAACGACATCCAGCTGTTTAAATAATAAACTTTGAAAATAAGGCTATTATCGAGCACAAGTTAATTAAATCTAGCCCAAGTACTTTCGCTTAAAATAGCATCTTCAGGGGCATTTCGTCAAAATGTGAACTATCCGGCAAGCGTAGAATGTGGAAACATTAAAATTAACATAAATTGTACAAAACACTACACTAAAACGAAACGAGGACAAACAGTTAAAATTACTCTATACGCTACATTCTCTGTCAGTATCTGGAGGGATAATGCCAATAATAATAATTATTCCTCCAGATACTGACAGAGAATGTAGCGTAGAAGTAAATTTAAACTGTTTGTCCTCGTTTTAGTGTAGTGTTTTGTACAATTTATGTTATTTTTAATGTTTCCACATTCTACGCTTGCCGGATAGGTCACATTTTGGCGAAATGCCCCTGAAGATGCTATTTTAAGCGAAAGTACTGGGGCTAGATTTAATTAACTTGTGCTCGATAATATGCCTTATTTTCAAAGTTCATTTATTCGAGCATTCAACCTCATTTCGTTTAAATAATAAACTTATATTCAATTATATTATAAACTATTATTATTATAAATATATTAAATTATAAACTTTACGTTGGCGTTGGCGCTGGCGTTCGCGTTACAACGTGGTCAAATGGAAAACTCGTATGTCTATTTATAAACATCGTTCGCCGTTTGGCGTCGGCGTTCGGTCCGTTCAAGAGAAAACAACTTTATCTTCTGCCGTTGTACACAGTATACACTAATCCTTCTGTGGTTGTAGTCACGATCACATAACATAAAAAACTGTATCATTGTCATCGCAGCCAATAGCAATACCGAAAAAGTGACAAGGTTGGTCAAACAAATCAAACTAAATTATTTGCAAAGCATATGGACGCATATGGGCATCTGGTTAATAAGCCTCCGTTTGTATCGATGTTGTCTTTTATTTCGAAGGCTTAGTGCTGCTCGAATACAAAGTGTCAGTGCCACTGCACTTAACAAAGGCCGAGCATTTTCATTTTCCATTGTATTAATTTTCAAGCAAAAATTAATAATACCAAATCAAACATGTAAGGTTAGAAATTTAGATGTGATCTTTAACACCAACGCCAACCGAAAGTTTATAAATGCAGTCTATGATAGCCAGCGTCAAGGTTAACGGCGAACGTCAACGTAAAGTTTATAAATCAGCCTTAACGTTAGCTAATGTTAACGTTTCTAACGCCGCTTGTGGTGGGGCCCAAAACTATAAATATTTGGCGGCAAATTCAAAATGTATATTCTGAATGTTATATTAACGTGTACCCATTCTAATACAATGGAAAATCAATATAGCCTTAAAATAGTAAATAAAAGCTTAATCCTGTTTCAAAACATCTACTCTTTTAGTTTTTCTCACTCTTCTATGAATATATCTTTTTTCTATTACACTGAAATGTCAAAACCATTAGAACAAAATAAATAATAAAATACATTCGTTGTAAAATGTATTTACTGCTGTAATTAATTTTGTATGAAATATTTTGCTCTTGCTATAATGCGTCACAACTCCCACTTTATAGGTTTTATAATTATCTGATACATGAAAACTTTTTTAAATAGTTTCTGGTGAACCTGTTTCCTGATTGTATCATACATTCTTGATACATCATCAATAAGCATATTTTCTTTTATATGGTTAAAAATGATTTGCTCTTTTCCCATCGTTATTGTTTGTTATATGTTGGAAATTCTCTGTATCTACAGAGTTTATAATATGCATCTAGATAGCACATTTCAAAAGTCTCATTTTCTTGTTATATAATTTTTTAGGATTAACTTTGACCTCATTTGAAAGTGTAGAAATGAGTTAATATGTTTCTCTCTTTTGTTTACACTCACAATTTTTTTGAATCGTAAATTCGAAGTAATTATCAATTTTCTAATGTATTTGTACGTATTAGCTATCCTATCTCACTTTTATTCTAATTTTAGGCTTTGGTTGTAAGAAAATTGAAAGAAGGCGGAGCAGCAAAGTCCGTGTGGCAACCAGAAGTAGACAAACTATTGGCTTTGAAAAAACAATTGGCTTCGGCAAGCGGTGCCCCAGTGGCTGCTACCCAGAAAAGCAAAAAAAGCAAGAAATAAGAATAAAAGTAATATAAGTTGATAAATAAAAGTATTTCGTGATCTGGTTAGAAAAAATATATTTATTTTCTTTTTTCAATATTCTAAATATTGATAATATGCTATTTTAAATACAGTTTTCATATTTTATTTAAGAAGTGTTTTTATTTATTTGATAATAAACTAAATTTACAATTTGTGGTGTTTATTTTATGTACCTTCCCATTGGTTATTTATAGTTTATTTTTATGAACGAGAGAGTAATTAGCATAATTTTAACGTACCCTCCGACCACTCCATGGCGTGCTCAAGATTAATTGAAAAATTACTTTGAATAATTGTAAAAAATAAATGAATTATTTCAGTTTTATAAAGTGTTATGTGTATGTAAACAAAAGTGACCTCTTTATCACACACTATATTAGAACTGACTGGCCTACATTAAAAAGGTTTTTAAAAAATTCACATTTTTTTTTTAATTTTTAAAAATTACAATAGAGAAAAAGAGTTTTTAAAAACCGTCTAAGGTATGTTAAATATATGAATAAAAAAATTTAATATAAAACCTACAGCTACTTGTTACAAATCCAAATCAGATTCAAAGATGAACTTTCAGAACCAAGATTTATAATAACTGGCTCTATCATTTTTATCAGTAATATTGTCCACTTCCACATTTTTTCCTCTTCTTTAATAGTGTGATTTACTGACTTTTCCCAGTTTTCAGGTTTTACATTATTTACGGCCTCCAAAAACAACTGTTTAACACAAGAAATTTAAAAGTGGTATTTTTTCTTGAACTTCACTCTTTATCTGTGCCCATACCATTTCAATCTGGTTAATTCACAATGATATGTGGGGATCTAAGTACTGTCATTCTCTTTATGAAGGGCACACAACGAATAAAGTTCTCTTCTTATAGATCCGGATGGTACGTAATATTTTTAAACTCAGCCAATTGTGCGCAAGTCTTTTTTTTTAACCACTTGGTTGTGGGCAGTCCTTCTATAAGTCTGGAGTGATAACTTGCATTATCCATTACTATTACACAGTTCTTAGGAAAAGATCTATCATTTGTCGAACCATTCTTGAAAGACATCAGCGTTCATGTCTTCATGGTATCACCGGTACGAGTTGATTCAAAAGTTAATAAACCACCTTCAACAAAACCGTCTGAACTGCCAATGTGTACTATTATCAGCCTGTGTCCCTTTCCTGATGGTGGATTTAAACCAGTAGATAAGTTATTTACAAAAGCGTGCCTTTGACTTGTAACAGTTTCATCCTGCCAAAATTTATTTGGTGTATGACCCTCGTTGATCCATGTTTCATTAAGATAAAAATATTTTTCTTTTTTGTTTCTCATTTCCTTTATGGTTCTTAGAAAATGTCTTCTCCATATGACAATATCGCTTCTTTCTAATAAAATAGACTTTCTGGTTTCCCTGGAGCATTACGTGGCATTTGAAAACTACCACATTTCTCTTCTTTAATAACTCTGTAAATCGTAGATTTCCCAACACCAAAGTACTGCTAACTAACTCAACGGTCTCATCAACACTTTCACATAAACGTTTGTCTGTAAATGATTTAAAACAATTAAATATTAATGTTTTTTCATTAACTGTTAAAGGACCAATTTTTCGGCGTTTACACGGCACTTCCAAATTTTCCATAACGCTAGTATACACAATAAACTGCACCTTGCAACTGAAGTACCTACTTTTAGTGAACTGTTAAGAATTTTGAACGCCACTTGGACCTTCTACAAAATGGAAAAACCCACTATCACATTTTCTGTGGAATAAGTTTAGAAGGTAATTATCTAGTCAATAACTGTCGTAGATTCCTGGAATTTAAGAATTAAATGTTTGATTGTTGAAACCTTACTTCGTGGAATGCACTCATTTCAGATAAAATAAAACGTTTTTATTTTATCTAAAGAAATAAAACTTATTTGCAAATAGGTAGGTACTTATTAAACTTTTATTAGTTATATATAACCAATAAAATAAACATCTTACATTTCTTGCAAATTCATTAGTACCTGTTAACCTCCATCACTCCGACACTGGCAACCTATTTAGGGATTAGTAACCCTCACAACTATTGTATTCTATTCTGCTCCAACCCTTTATACCTGGTGGTCATACTCAATTTAAAATTGTTTTAAACTTGTTGACAAATATCTGTTTTTCATTGAGTCACCCGTATCAACAGTTTAGGGATTTGCATACATAATTCATTGTTTTATTACTCTCTCATACATAAAAATACACTATAGGTCACGTGATCGATAAACCTGACATATTAGAAAAAGATGCAAGGACTGCTTTGCGTCAGTTTACTCTGTCGCACTGGGAGAACGGGCCTGTATTGCAACAGTATTATATATCTATGGTCTGTAGATTGACTTAAGTATACTCAAAATCAGAAAATGGCAACACGTTGCCAGAACCCGAACAGAATGGTAACGAATCTTGAAAAGATGATGAGCTGTTACTTTAAATATTTCAAGTAAAGTTTGTTTAGTAGTAAATGGTTGACTTCAATTAGTACCGACTATAAACATCCTGCGTTAACCGATAATATTATAAAAGGCCCGGTTTCAGGGAAAATTGAAATAAGTTTCCTGGTAAAATTTGTGAATCTTCATTTCTTAATGTTGATTTAATTGCGTACAATCCAAACTCATTATATTTACATTAACACAGATAAGGCTTATATTTATAATGACGAAGCTGTACTGATACGAGGGTTTTTCGAATTCGATGGTAGTGCGCGACGAGTTTGATTATCACCTTTTAAGTGGTTTTCAGGTATTTATATAAGTTTATGGAACTGAACACCAACCAGTATTTAAATACGAGTTTTTAAGTGTGCAAAACAATAATATATCTTTATAATAAAAATATACCATCAATTTACCTGTCAAAACAGCTACTCGTTCTTGTACTTTGGATAACTCGATAAGAAAAGCATTTACTTCTGCTTCCT